TCGCATGTCGTATGTAGAGTTTGGGCTTTAGGGTTTTCGGGGCCTTTGGGGATTGCACGGTTGAGGGTGTAGGGTTCGAAAGATGTGGGGCTGAGGGTGTCATGGCTTTAGGGGCTGTAGGGCCTTTAGGGGTCTTAGGGCTCCGTAAAACCCTAAGCCCTAAACCCCAAGGATTTTGGATTCAGGATCCTGGCGCCACGCCCAATGAGCAATCTGGCCCTGCGGGGGTGTGCTGAAGGGTTTAGGTTCAAGCGCCCTTACCAATCTACCGCCTATGATGGGGGTCTGCTTATGTGCCTGCAGTTGAATGGGGTCTTAAAACCAAAGGCCCAAAGCCCAATTCCTAAAACCCTCCACCGCCACTTAGCACCCAAAAGCCAGCCATCCCTGTATCCTACGCAGGTTTACAAAAACTAGGCCTCCCCCAATATAGATCCCCCACAATAGTCGGATTCCCTTACAGTAAGGACCCCGATTAGGTACCCTTAGTTTCGGACCCCCCCTCCCCCCCATAAGCCCTAACTCCAGGCCCTAAACCCTAAACCCTATAAACCTTATGAGCCCTAATCAAGCGTCCGGCTGGCTGTGCAGCACCGCCCCTTCCTCGACCTCGGAGCCCTGCAGGTTCAGGATTCGTGTTTAGGGTTTAGGGTTTAGGGTTTAGGGTTTAGGGTTTAGGGTTGCGGGGCTTTCTTCCTGTCCCCCTCTCCAAGTATTCTTGATGTCCTATATATCCCCCCCCCTCCTCCATAAACCGGCACCCCTTCGTCTCAGGAAAAGCGTAAGGTCCGGGCTCCCAAGTGTTGCAGGTAATTGCCGTAGATTCCATAATATAATCCCTTCTGTTCTACTCAATTCCCTGCCAGTCCACTCCATATGGTCACTTCTCTAAATCATGGTCCTTTTTGGGGTCGCTGCTATAAGGCGGCCCCTCATACTTAGGGTATCCAAAAACGGACCATATTTTGGACAACTGACTATATGCCCACCCTGTTCCATCCTAAGCCGTGCAAGCCGTACGACCACAACGGCTGTCAGTGTCACTTCCACGAGCATACCACTACGACTACTGCCTGAACCCTAAGCTCTGGTTTAGGGCTTAATTTGAAGCTAACCCTAAACCCTAAACCCTAAACCCTAAACCCTAAACCCTATAAACCCTAGAGTTTGGGGCTTGGTGCCCAGCACCTCACGCGAACACTTTTTCGCGCCTGGGCTGTGCAACTCGTGGACACCAGCAGGGCCCACAAAACGCCGCGAGCCTCAGCCGCGTTTCGAGGCGCATTGCGGACTTTCTAGCTTGGGTGCTCTTCGCGGGGTAGCTATAAACTGAGCTTTTTTAGGTGCGGGGTTTAGGGTTTAGGGTTTAGGGTTTAGGGTTTAGGGTTTAGGGTTTAGGGTTTAGGTGACCCAAAAAAGACGAAGGATCGAAAGTTGCAGGAAAGCACCACAGAGAGAGGGTCGGTAAGGTTTAGAGTTTAGGGTCCAGGCGACTGAGGGTTTAGGGTTTCGAGGTTCAGGGCTTCAGGGTCTAACGTGTAGGGTTTCCCCGCGATTGAGGATTTAGGAAGAGTGAGTGCTTAAGGGAGGTTCAGGACGAACTCTGCGGAGAAACTTGCTGTGGACAACAATTGCCTTCCCTTCAAGGGAGTGCCCCAGCCAAGTTGACGGATAAATCCGACTGCGGACTTGTCTGAACTACGTACTTCAAAGGTCTGATTGGGGAAAGAACCCGCTCCTCATTTAGAATGCATGTTGAAAGGCTAACACCTGACACCACAAGCATAGAAGTTCAACTACTGCGCAGCGAGCGTCCTATTGCAGTATGGTGTGGGGTGGCATGCCGGAGCAGAGTACACAGAGGGGTTTGCAGGTTGCAGGCGCGTGTAGGCTTGCAGACTGTTTGGGGTTTAACGTTTATAAGCGAGGAAGGCCTCCCACGGTTTAGGGTTTAGGGGTTAGGGTTTAGGGTTTAGGGTTTAGGGTTTAGGGTTCGTTTTTGAGCAGGGCAGGTCTAGGTGCTGGTCACCTAAGTAGCTGGCGGTCATGGCTGGGCAAAGCAAGTGTCGCGGACGCGTAAGCTAAGGGGACCCGATAAGCCTTCAACCCTGAACCATTCGATCAGCCATCCAGAATCCCACTGAAAACTCCCGAAACCTGCTGTTCTGCTGCTGTTTGCGCATCTTGGAAACTGTGAGCCTGACCACGGGGCCAAAAACCTCTCAATGAAGGACAAAGGGCCTTTGACAAAGGGTTCTTGGTTTAGGGTTCAGGGCTTCGTAGGAACCCGGGATGTACATACAGTTGAAGGTGGAGAGCCTACTTGGCGAGTGCATCTGGGTCTTCGTAGAAAGCGGGACTTCCATGCAGTTGAAGGTTTAGTTAGGGCCGAGTTGACGAGTGTATCCTGGTCTAAGAAAGAGCTCTTCGTCCTTCTATACCTGGAAGTCTTGCAGTTGACGCTCGCTTGTGTCGTCAACTAACCCAGGGTATCGCTAAACGACTTCGGGTTGAGGTCTGAGAGATATTTACTCATGGGTTCAGGGCTTAGGGTTGTCTAGGATTGTTTGCATTTGGGCTTGGAATTAGGGTCTTCTGCAGCTTGTGAGGCTTGCTGGTATTTCAGAATCCACAGAAGCTGAAACCCTGAAACCTCCTAAGCCCGAAACCCTATAACCCGTACATCGTAAACTCGATGCCCGAAACCCCTAAACTAAACCTTAAACCCCAAATATTGAAAGTTTACCTTGAGAAACGCTCAGAAAATAAAAACGTGATTTGGTCTCTTTCGGGGTCCTTATTACAAGGCGACAGAACTGGCCATGTTTGGGGGGTGTAGAACTTTTAAGGCATTTGGGTCAGTATGGCAGGTGCAAGGGTTTCGGGCCCGAACCCATAAACGCTGTAAACTCTCTGTAAATCCAACAAACCCTATACACCCACTCATGTAAACCCCAGAGACCCTGTAAGCCCCAAAAATAAACCCTAACACTCCCCCTCTAAATTACCCTGCCTAGGTTCCCCCCTCAAAATCTTAACTAGGCTGAATTATCCCTAGATAACCTCAATTATGGGGGGAACCCAGCAAAAGGGGGGGGGGGGGGGGGGGTAGTATAGAGGGGGGTAATTAGTAGGGGAACCCATGAATGAACCCTAAACCTAAACCCTAAACCCTAAACCCTAAACCCTAAACCCAGCAAGCCCTGCACCCGCTTTTGCGCCGCCACCGCTCCGGTCGGGCGTCGGCGCTCAACAGCTCCAGGGAGCGGAGGTCGCAAAACTCGAGCCTGGGTCTTTAGGGTTTAGGGTTTAGGGTTTAGGGTTTAGGGTTTGGGGTTTGGGGTTTGGGGTTTGGGGTTTGGGGTTTGGGGTTTGGGGTTAGGGGCTTATGAGGGGTGAGGCTTCGGGGGTTAGGGTTTGCGTTTAGGGTTTAGCGGCTTTAGGGGTTTACGGGTTTATGAGGAGGTCTGGGCTAGGGGTTTCCGGGTTTCAGGGATTAGGGTTGGGGTGCTCAGGGAAATCTAAACCAGGCGCCCATGCTGTACTGTGGAAATATGCGTTTAAAGAGGCCCTCCGAGGTTTTAGGTTCATAGGGGGCTATAATTTAGAACTAGGGGTTTCGGGTTTAGGGTAAAAGTTTAGGGTTTAGGGTTTGGGGTTTAGGGTTTAGGGTTTAGGGTTTAGGGTTTAGGGTTTAGGGTTAGGTTCCAGGCTCCGCGGTGTCAGGCTGCAGATTTTGGGTTTGGGGTTTGGCTTGGGAGGTTGACTGGGGGCTCGCGGACTGCACAGCTGCATACGCCAGACGCGAGTCTCAGGGGTTTGGGGTTTAGGGTTTAGGGTTTAGGGTTTAGGGTTTAGGGTTTAGGGTTTAGGGCCCTCGAACATTGAGGCCCAAACCCCATCGCCCCAAAGCCCTAAAGACTTAAAAAAACGCTACGCCCGAAACCCCTAAACCCTGAACCCTCAGTGCATAAGCCCCAAAACCTAAACCCGACAACCATGACGCCCACCTGACGAGTCAACAGTGCAAACTTCAGTAGTCTCCTTTGTGCAATGTAGCGAAATCTGTGACAAGACGTCCTTCATTTCCTTCTCATGGAGGTTGTTGTGGTTGACTTCTTGGGTAGTGCTCTCCGTTATGGGTTTTTGGTTGCTGCCTGTGATGGTGAGGGCTCTGCGGCACAGGTGGGATGCAAGTGTTTGTACAGTTTGTTGCAGCTTTACGATGATGCTGATGTTTTTTCTCCACTTTCCGGGCGTTCCTTGGTGAATTTCATCTTGCTTTTGTCTACTACTGGCTGGTGAAATTGTTTGGTGGTGACCCTTTCTCCACGGTTGCTCGTTGTATCTTCTCGCTTTGAGGATCCCATGCCTCGCCCACGTGCTGACGGCTAGTCGATCATTGAGACCATGCACGATCTCCCGCGTGAAGGCGTTCGTGGCTGAGTTCATTATGGTTTTATTAGTGTGGTTTCTCTTTACCTTTGTCGAGTTTGATGTGGAGATGGCAGTCCTCATCGTGGACTGTATATGTGTGTGTGAGTGAGACGCAAGTGTCTCCAGCTTTGAGTGGTTGCGGTATAGGCCTTAGTATGCCTGCCTTGCAGCACCCGCCGAGGGTAGTGTGCCAGATGCAGAAGGCAAAACCCCAAAACCACAAAGCACACCCTACAGGGTTCAAGCATCGTCGAGTGTCTGTATCGTTGAAGGCTTGCCGCAACCCTAAACCCTAAACCCTGAACCCTAAACCCTAAACCCTCAATCCGAAGCCCTAAACCCCTATACCCCTAAACTGCAGCACAGTGACAGTTGCGAGCTCGGACCCGACCCAAGCATCTGAAGAAGGCTTTCGGGGTGTGATCTAGGGTTTTGAGCTTCGATATTCGGGGTTCCGATTTGGGATTTTTTAAGTTTCAGGGTCTTAGTGTCTTGGGCTTTGTTGTAGGGCTTAGGGTTTTTGCTTGGAGGCTATTGGGGTTACGGGCTGGGGTGTAGGGCTGTCACGTCGCGATTAGCGGGTTCAGCCGTGCCAAGCCGCCTTCATTCGCTGTTAGACAATGGGGGTTCTACCCTAAACCCTGCAAACCTGACTCCGGATTTTGGGGGATGCAGAACCCCTAAACCCTAAACCCTAAACCCTAAGCCCTAAGCCCTAAACCCTAAACCCTAAACCCTCAACCCTCAACCCTCAGCCAGCTTCCCAGTGAGCACCTCGCAGGCGTCCACCGCAGCCCCTGCAGCCGTGGCATCCAGCTCCACCCTTCCCTGCACCATCTCCTGGTCAAGGGTTTAGGGTTTAGGGTTTAGGGTTTAGGGTCAAGGGTTTGGGGCTTGGGCTTAGGGTTTAGGGGGCTTTCAGGGGGTCGAGGTGCTCGTTATCATGTGAATCGCAACCTGACCCTGATGGCGTGTGCACAAGTCCCAGGCTCTAGGGGTTTAGGCTTGAGGGTTGACAAGAGGCTCTCCCTGGATTTGCTGCATACCCCATGAGCAACGACATTGCAACGCCGCTTTCAAGAAGGCAACGAACAAGACCCTAAGCAACGAACAAGACCCTAAACCCTAAACCCTACACCCCCCCCCCCCCAAAACAACCCCGAGGAACCGTACTCAGTCAGGTGCCTCCAGAAACTGAAGGAGGTGCCTCGGAAGGCCTCACAACCCAAACGTTCACTCGGGCTGGGGTTCAGAGCAGGTTTCGAAGGGATGCCTGTCAGCAGAAATGGGGTGTTTACGAGAATAGGGGTACCCTTTTTGGGTCCTTGTTATAAGGGAATCCTACTGTTTGGGGTGATTTGTGTTGGGCCCCTGATTTGTGCCCCCCCCCATATCGGGAGGCCTTAAGCTAACAAACGAAAAGTGAGGCCTTCCGGTGTGTGGGTGCAGTCCGAAGCGTAGTGCCAGTATGGGCAGCGTCTGGAAAGCATTAGAGACTTAGAAAATCCTCATGTAAATGGGAGATCCAAGTGATGGACCCGAATTTACATCCCTCGTTGCTGAGTACCCTGGGCCAACAAAAGGTTGAGCTTGCGACTTGTGGTAGATTTACAGGAGCCACAAAAGGCTCATGGTTATCTGCTCAGCCCGAAGCATCAGCGTGGAAACACCCGCTCGGGGTCTAGTGCTTCGAGAGTTAGTACCAGTATAAGCATCACCTGATGGGAAAGGCCCAGCATGGTCCAGACTTCCAAGGGCTTGATAAGGGTTATGAGGGATTCATATACGGGAATTACAAGGGGCTTAGAAGGGCTTGTAAGGGCTTAAGCGGGCTTGGGCTAATAGGTGAATAGGATCTAGGGGGGCTTCAGTAACTTCGCTTACAGGGTGGCGGAACCCGAGACCTTTGAGATTTCCCCCCAAGCCCTGAGTAAGGATCTGGCCCTAGCACGTCGGAGTGCCACTCACTTTAGGGCTGTGTAAGGCAGAAAGGGTCCCCTTGAGTTCAGGTTTAGGGTATGCGTGTTTGGGGGCACACAAAAGGTCTACTTTGGGGCAAGGCCGTTTAGGGTTTAGGGGTTAGGGGTTTAGGGGTTAGGGGTTTAGGGTTTAGAGTTTAAGGTTTAGGGTTTATAAGGTTTAGGGTTTAGGGGACGCAGCAGGAGGGGGCCTCCTTCCAGGCACGCGCAGAAGACTGCGTAGTAGGACACCCTGTTGGGCGACAGCTCCATGGTGGCTCCTGCCAACTTGGAGGCTTCTGCTTAGGGTTTAGGGTTTAGGGTTTAGGGTTTAGGGCTTAGGGCTTAGGGCTTAGGGTTTGGGGGTAGGGCCGGGCAGGGTTTAGGGGGGGGTGTGCGATGCGGCCGTAGGAGGTACGTTTTAGGGTTTGGGTTCAGGGGTTCTTACTTCTCCAATAACCAAGGAAGAAAGAAGGCTAAGCTGCCATTCTTCCGACGAAAGAAGGAAACCCAAGAAGTTGGAAGTTCAACTATTGGCGAAGTAAGGTTTGATCTATGCTTCTAAAAATCAACACTCCATTGCATGATCACGCATGTGCCTATTTCAATGATGTGCATTGCTACGTCTTTCTGTTTGCCTGACTATACATGACATGCATTGCATCTAAGTTCTGTTCATTGGAGGGGAGGAGAGAGGGTTGGGTAACAATAATCTGAAAATCACAAAAACCCTGCAAAAGATGGCGTAGGGTAGTATAGGGCCTTGACATGTTCAGTCCCACTCCAACCCCACCCCACCCCCCCGAGTGGCCCAGGCACCAGGGGATTTCGGCTTAAAGATTTCTGGCTTATGAGTCACTCTGTAAGTTCAGCTCATGAGGGAACCAAATGCCCCCCCCCCTCCCCCCCCCCCCCCCACAAAAAAAACAAGGAAACAAGGGCTTTGAGGGATTATAGTGTTCAACTAAGGGCATCACTTTCTGGGTCTTAGCCTAAGAGGCCCTCTCGCCTGCAAAGGTCTCCAGAAACGCCTGCAGCGCCCGCTGCCACTGCCGCCCCTGGGCCAGGCCTCAGAGACTCAGAGATTTCGAGTCTTTCCAAAGGGCTGGGGTATGTTCCCCCCATATACTGACAGTCCTTTGTCGGGATTTCTAGTACCCCCCCCCCCCTTGATAATCCCTATTAAGGACTGGGAGTATAAGGGGGAGAGTCAAGCTGGGCACTGCAAGCGCTCGTGGCCTGACCCCGCAGAAGCCCTGTAAGCCCTAATAATTCCCGCAACCGTGTGTGGGTACCCTTTTTGCTTTAAAGGGGCTTTTGAGGGAACACAACCCCTAAAGAAAAGGAAGAATAAGGGCCTACTCCGGATCCTAGAAGAAAGAGAGAGAGAGTCAGAGTGAGAGAGAGAGAGTCAGAGAGAGTCAGAACGAGTCAGAAAGAGAGAGAGAGAGAGGGAGGGCCTACGTAGGTTGATGTTGCCGCGCGTTCTCGAAGCCTGCCCGCATGTTGAAAGAAAAAGCGCGCTGTCGCCCGGGCGCGGGCGCGGCCTCGCTCGCCGTCCCCGAAAGAATGTTTAGGGTTTAGGGTTTAGGGCCTATAGGGTTTATAAGGTTTAGTATGGTGTAGTGGACTCCCAAATGTGAAACTCGCGTCGATTTTGGACGTCTCGGCTCGTGTGGTCTCTCACTGTTTGGGGTTTTACGCTGGCATGAGACGCAGGTACCCTACCTGCAGCCCAAAATGCGACGAATGAGTAGGTTAAAGGGCCGAACTTCGGGACAAAAGACACAGAAACAGCGGGCCCGAAACCCCAAACCCTACACATCCCTGCACCCGAAGCCCTAAACCTCAAACCCCAAACCGAAACCCTATAAAACCGCCCCCCCCCCCCCCCCCCCCCAACACGCGGCAACTCCGGAATGCCAAGGTCGATGCTTGTCAGGGCCGCGTTGTACGTGTAGAGGTCCGGCTGCATGGCTTCACCGCGTAGCTCCTCGGCATGAGGCCACGAAAAGCCGCAAACCCTGGGTTTTGGGGTTTGAGGGTTTAGGGCTTATAGGCTTATAGGGCTTGGGGTTTAGGGTTATGGTTCAGGGTTTAGGCGAGGTTGAATTCTAGAACCCAAACCCAGAAACCCTACTGGAAGCCGTGCTACAAACACAACAAGCCCTGAACCGTAACCCCTATAATACTATGGACCCTTGTAAACCGAAAAGCACTATATCCCTACAAACCGTAAACCCCCCAAACCCGTACACACGAAGTGCACCGAACCCCTGGGCCTGCCCGGGCCCGAACTCCACTGCTCAAGGGTGCGGGGTCGATGCTAGGGTACATCTAAGGTCTGAGATTCATACCGTTGAGGGTCCGGGGTTTAAGGTTTAGGATTTGTAGGATGAATGGCGGGTGTATAGGGTTTATAGGGTTTATAGGGTTTATAGGGTGTGTAGGGTTTATAGGGTTTATAGGGTTTAGGGTTTAGGCCTGAGAACCTAGACCTGTCCACCCTACCCAAAGCACGCCGAGACGCCTCGAGCAGAAGAACGACGCTCCTGCCAGGTTTGCAGGCAGTTTCAGCTACAGTCCGACTGAGCGGTGGATGGTCACAGCTCAACCCCTAAGCCCTAAACCCTAAACCCTAAACCCTAAACCCTAAAACCCTAAACCCTAAACCCTGTTCAAAGGCTTTACGGAAGAGAACACGTCTTCATCACAGATCCAGTGCAGCCAAAGAAATCCTACCTCGAATTGCCATGTTGCAGTCATGTATAGGCATAGACCCAATCAAGGGCGTTTACACTTCTGCATGAGGTAGCTAAGAATCCAAGCAAACATTCTTCTTGGCCCGAAACCCTAAACCCTACACCCTAAACCCTAAATCCAAAACCCGATTTCCCGGACCGAAGATGCAGAAAACTATTTGAGGGTCGTCTTGCAGCTTTTGCCCACGACCCCTAAACCCCCCAAAATTCCCGAAACCCTAAACCCGAAACCCTAAACCCTAAACCCTAAATCCTATGCATGAGCCATAAACTCTCAGAGCCTATAACATGTGGGCTCTCCAAAGGTTAAGGGGTACCCGTTTTGGGGGGTGCTCCGATGAGGAGGATGGCAGTATTTTGGGGGGGGAGCATGAAGGGCCCCTATTCGGGTTTAGGGTTTAGGGTTTAGGGTTTAGGGTTTAGGGTTTAGGGTTTAGGGTTTCAGCACCCCGAAACCCAAGGAGCCCATCGGCTACTGCGCCCGGGGGTCCTCCAGTTCTTCTCGGCAGCATTCAAAGCCTTGGAGGGGCGCTCGGGACTTTCAAAAAGCGTGAAGCTCAGCATGCAGAGGACCGAAGCTTCAAGAATGAGCTGCCCAATGAGCCTTCAGGGTTTCGGGTTTAGGGTTCAGGGTTTAGGGTTTAGGGCTTAGGGATTAGGGCTCAGGATGTAGGGTTTAGGGAGACCGCCAGGGACTGAAGGCACCAGGCTTCGTTTTAAGGGCCCGTGTGTGGCACTTTGCCTTTGGAGGTTTAGGGGAACTCGGCCGTGAGCCACCTGCCTGATGCCACCACAAAAGCCCCCCAAAATAAACGACCAACCCGACTCTTCGAGGGCCCGGTGCTTGTATGCATAAGAAATATGATTCCATAAACCCTAAACCCTAAACCCTAAACCCTAAACCCTGAACCCTAAACCCTAAACCCTAAACCCTAAACCCTAAACCCTGAAGGCTCATTGGGCAGCTCATCATAGGGCAGCGGTCCTGGCCCCGCGGTGCATTAAACGCTGAGCCCCTTGAAGCCTACTACATGCGTATCATAAACCCAAAACTCTACTAAACCCCAAACCCTAAACCCCAAACCCTAAACCCTAAACCCTCAACCCTAAACCCTGAACCCTAAGCCCTCAACCCTCAAGCCTAAACCCTAAGCCCTCAACCCTAAACCCTGAACCCTAAACCCTAACTGAACCCTAGTCCCAGACACAGCCGTGAAGATTGCGGTGTCAACGTCCACGCGCTCACGGCGAAGGTCCGCCCAAAGCTGCCAGAAGCAGGACGTAGGGTTAGCGAAAAAAAGGGGAGGTTTAGGGTTTCGGGTTTCGGGTGTAGGGTTCGGGGTTTAGGGTTTGGGGTTTAGGGTTTGGGGTTTATAGGGTTTAAGGTTTGGGGCTCAGTGTTGAGCCGCAGTTCCCCCCCCCCGCAAACGTTCCAACACCCCTCATATAGGCTCAGCTAGTACCCAAATTCCCAACAGCACAGAATTGAATCCCGAGCTTCGGTCCCTACGAAGGGAGACATCCAATCGCCGGGAAAAGCCGCCGCAATCTCCCTGCATGGTTGGACCTCTAAACCCTAAACCCTAAACCCTAAACCCTAAACCCTAAACCCTAAACCCTAAACCCTAAACCCTGAACCCTGAACCCTAAACCCTAAACCCTAAACCCTAAACCCTAAACCCTGAACCCTGAACCCTAAACCCTAAACCCTAAACCCTAAACCCTGAACCCTGAACCCTAAAGCCTCGACCCTAAGCGAGCCCTCTCGATGGGCCTCCATGGCCGCCGTCCAGACGGTATATCGGCTGCAGGCCGTTATCGCAGCGCCTGAGCCAGGATAAGAGGGAGTTCTGCAATTCCGAGGGTTTAGGTTTTAGGCTTTAGGGTTTCCTTCTACACCCAAGCCCCTAAACTTTACGTCCCCCATACCCTGAACCTGAACCGAACCCCTAACTGACGTCCAACATGAAAAACCTAAACCCTCAAAACCCTAGATGTCCCTACGAAATAATCCGCCTGCAATCCCGTGACCCTTTGAACCCCGAAGCCCCTCCTACTGCCCTTCCCTGCCCTAAACCCTAAACCCTAAACCCTAAAAACCCTAAAAACCCTAAAAACCCTAAAAACCCAAAACCCAAAACCCAAAACCCTAAACCCTAAACCCAGGGCGCCGTAGGTCACGCAGGTCGGCTGAAGCCCCGCCGCGCGGAGCTCCTCCATCAGTGCGAGGGAGCGCTGCCATCGCCTGCGCTCACAAGACTTTCAGGGTCATCCTGGCAGCTTAGGGTGGAGTTTAGGGTTTAGGGTTTAGGGTTTAGGGTTTAGGGTTTAGGGTTTAGGGTTTAGGGTTTAGGGTTTAGGGTTTAGGGTGTGGCCACGTTCTTAGCGCACGTCGTGGAACGTGCTGAAAGTAGAGATTCGCAAACATTCTGGCCCTCACACCCCGAAAACGTCTACAAGAAACGCGAATGGCCATATCATCGGAAACTTTAGATTTTGTATGATATTGTATGATGTAGCGTTGTATTTAGAAATACAAGATTCTATCTTTTTAAGTTCATCTGAATATCATGATGAAGATGGAAGGAGAACGAAAAACAGTCATGCGTTGTATGAGTCGTGAGAGAGCTCAGACATAGCAGCGGGCCACTCCTGGAGACCCCCAAACCCTAAACCCCAAACCCCAAACCCTAAACCCTAAACCCTAGACCCTAAACCCCAAACCCTAAACCCTGGTTTTTGGGGATCCTGCTTAGGGCTTCCTGTTAGGTTTATCGCACATCGAGGTCTTATGGGGAATCATAGGGCTCACAAGGCCTGAACCCGCCAAAATGACACCTAAACCCCAAGCCTTGCTCGCCATCCCGCGCGCCAGGTCATGGGTGTTGAGGGTTTAGGGTTTAGGGTTTAGGGTTTAGGGTTTAGGGTTTAGGGTTTAGGGTAGGCGCCTGGCTTTTTCGCACGCCGAGATGGTGCTGTTGTACATGACCAGCAGCTCGTTTTTTGACCTGACCCCAGACGGCACGCAAGCCCCGTATCAGGACACAAGGGCTTCTAGGGCCTAGGTTGCAGCTACGCTTCTGGGAGAAGATGCCTTATCGCCCGGAAAGGCTTCGGAGTTTTGCAATGGATCTGGGCCCAGAGCTTTTAAACCAATAGGCTCTGGGGTTTAGAGTTTAGAGTTTAGGGTCCAGGGATGAACCCTGACCCCTAAACCCAGGGCTGTTAAACAGCCCTAAACCCTAAACCCTAAACCCTAAACCCTAAACCCTAAACCCTAAACCCTAAACCCTAAACCCTAAACCCTAAACGCCCCAAACCCTAAACCCAGGGCTGTTTTAAAAGGAGTGAAGCGAAAGGGTAAAGAAGCCCAAACGCATAGGCTACCCGTAGGCCTTGCCGTGGGGCCTACGGCTGGCTACGCGTAGGCCTGTCGGTAGAGTCTACGGCAGCCTACGCGTAGGTCTGTGCGTAGGCCCTTGCGCGGCCTACCCGTAGGCCTATCAGAGGGCCACGGGTAGCCTGCCCGTAGGCCTACCCGGAGGCCCACGGGTAGGCTGCCGGCAGGCCTATCCGTAGGCCTACGGGTAGGCTACCGGCAGGCCTACCCGCAGGCCTACGAGTAGGCTACCGGTAGGCCTACCCGTCGGTCTATGGGTAGGCTACCGGCAGGCCTGCCGCAGGCCTATGGGTAGGCTACCGGTAGGCCTACCCGTAGGCCTACGGGTAGGCTACCGGCAGGCCTGCCCGCAGGCCTGCGGGTAGGCAACCGGCAGCCCAACCCGCAGGCTTCTACGTAGTCGAAGCATAGTAGCAGTGATGATCTCGGGGCTGGGGCTCGGGCACAAAAAGAAGAGGTCAACAGTTTGCGCGTGCGTAAGTTTTGTTACGGATGCACATGATGTTTCGGGTTGAGAATTTAGGAAGCAGTTTAACGGGTGCTTTCGTCGTTTCTCGAGTCAAGGGCTCGGTTCAAAGCCTCGGGCGTTTTGTAGTTTAAGATGAGGATTTAGGATCAGGAGGAGGGAAGTGGCCTAAGAAATTCTTACAGGGAGACTTTTTCCGAACTGCATCTTCAAGTTATTTTACTCCAAGTAGTATAGTAGTAGTAGTAGTCGTAGTAGTAGTAGTAGTAGTAGTAGTAGTAGTAGTAGTAGTACTAGTAGTAGTAGTAGTAGTAGTAGTAGTAGTAGTAGTAGTAGTAGTAGTAGTAGTAGTAGTCGTAGTAGCCGTAGTACTAGTAGTAGTAGTGGTAGTAATAAGAGTGGTGGTAGTAGTAGTCGTAGTAGTTGTTGTTGTGTAGTAGTGGTAGTACTAGTAGTAGTAGTAGTAGTAGTAGTAGTAGTAGTAGTAGTAGTAGTAGTAGTAGTAGTAGTAGTAGTAGTAGTAGTAGCAGAAGTAAGAGTAGCAGAAGTAGCAGTAGCAGTAGTAGTAGTAGTAGTAGTAGTAGTAGTAGTAGTAGTAGTAGTAGTAGTAGTAGTAGTAGTAGTAGTAGTAGTAGTAGTAGTAGTAGTAGTAGTAGTAGTAGTAGTAGTAGTAGTAGTATTAGTAGTAGTAGTAGTAGTAGTAGTAGTAGTAGTAGTAGTAGTAGTAGTAGTAGTAGTAGTAGTAGTAGTAGTAGTAGTAGTAGTAGTAGTAGTAGTAGTAGTAGTAGTAGTAGTAGTAGTAGTTGTAGTAGTAGTAGTGGTAGTAGTAGTAGTAATAGTAGTAGTAGTAGTAGTAGTAGTAGTAGTAGTAGTAGTAGTAGTAGTAGGTAGTAGTAGTAGTAGTAGTAGTAGTAGTAGTAGTAGTAGTAGTAGTAGTAGTAGTAGTAGTAGTAGTAGTAGTAGTAGTAGTAGTAGTAGTAGTAGTAGTAGTAGTAGTAGTAGTAGTAGTAGTAGTAGTAGTAGTGTGTAGTAGTAGTAGTAGTAGTAGTAGTGTGTAGTAGTAGTAGTAGTAGTAGTAGTAGTAGTAGTAGTAGTAGTAGTAGTAGTAGTAGTAGTAGTAGTAGTAGTAGTAGTAGTAGTACGAGTAGTAGTAGTAGTAGTAGTAGTAGAAGTAGTAGTAGTAGTAGTAGTAGTAGTAGTAGTAGTAGTAGTAGCAGAAGAGTTAGTAGTACTAGTAGCACTAGAACGAGTACCAGTACGAGTACTAGTGCCAGTACCAGTACTAGTGCTAGTGCTGGTAGTAGGTCCGTCGTCAGCCTACCCGTAGGCCTGTGGGTAGGCCTGCCGGTAGCCTACCCGTAGGCCTGTGGGTAGGCCTGCCGGTAGTTGTTTGTCGCCCTACGGGTAGGCCTGCCTGCAGCCTGTCCGTAGGCCTACGGGTAGGCCTACCGGTAGCCTAACCACAGGCCTACGGGTAGGCCTGCCTGTAGCCTACCCGTAGGCCTACGGGTAGGCCTACCGGTAGCCTACCCGCAGGCCAACGGGTAGGCCTGCCTGTAGCCTACCCGTAGGCCTACGGGTAGGCCTACCGGCAGCCTACCTGCAGGCCTACGGATAGGCCTATCAGTAGCCTCGCGTAGCCCCTACGTAGGCCTGCACACAGGCTACCCGTAGGCCTAGAGTAGACCTACCCATAGGTCCGACGTAGCCTCAGTTTCGGGCTTCTGTATGAGCGAAAGACGAACTCAGCACCGCACCCTCGAATTTTGGAGGCCAGCACGGCATCCTCAATGCAAAATCAGGCTGTGTTTCCACTGCAGGTTTCTGGGTTTAGGGTTTAGGGCTTAGGGGAGTTTAGGGTTTAGGGGAGTTTAGGGTTGTTTAGGGTTTAGGGTTTAGGGTTTAGGGTTTAGGGTTTAGGGTTCAGGGTTCAGGGTTTAGGGTGACCAACTGTTAGGTTGAAACAGAGAATTTAGCCCCAAACCCTTCATGCTCCAAGCTTCCAGGGTCGGGGGATATGGGCCCTGAATTGGGGAACTCTTGTACCCGATACTTTTATACCCTGTAAAGGCCTTCTAGAAAGGTAAGGGACCAAAGGTAAGGGACCAAGCAACTCCTCGTTGACAACACCAAGACCCCAAGCCAAACCCAAGACCCTAAGCCCTCCCCGCCGCCCCCAAATCCCTCAGGGGTTTAGGGCGAAGCCCTTCTGAACCCTAAACCCTAAACCCTAAGCCCTAAACCCTGAGGTTGTGTGTGTGCGTCCTTCAGCAGCAGCGCCAGCTCCCACTGCTTCGCCTGGCAGCACTGGGGTTTCATGCACCAAGGGAGCCTGGAGAGGAGTTTAGGGTTTAGGGTTTGGGGTTGATAGGGTTTAGGGTTTAGGGTTTAGGGTTTAGGGTTTAGGGTTTAGGGTTTAGGGTTTAGGGTTTAGGGTTTAGGGTTTAGGGTTTAGGGTTTAGGGTTTAGAGTTTAGGGCTCAGGGTTCAGGACTTCGGCTTGAGGATGGACATTTTGGCAGGTGAAGGTTTCCGGCCCTGGGGTCTTGTTGCGACGTGTGTGTGTGTGTGTGTGCTTAGCGCGTAGAAAAAACCGCCCCAATCTGAAAGCGAAACCAAGCTCCGGTTGATCCATAGATGTTCCCGCCGGCCAACGGGCCCCACAAAAAAACCATGCGTTGGAGAAACGCCCATGTTCAGGTCGATGAGCGCAGAGGGAGGGCTCGTGCTGCAGTACTTAACGAGAGGCCTCCCAGTAGCCGGGTTTAGGGTTTAGGGTTTAGGGTTTCGGGTTTAGGGTTTAGGGTTTAGGGACACTGGCAGCAACCAGCTCTTTTCCCAAGATGCTGCCGCCAGCAGCAAGGCGGTGCGACTTCGGTAGCTTAAAGGGACCTCTCCGCCTTAGCTGTTCGAAGCCTTGCAACCAATTCTGCAGAGTAAGCTCCAGCATCTGATTCCACATGCTTAAAACTGAGCGTTTTTTAACACATAAACTTTTGTGTTGAAGGTAGTTGGGGAGACGAACCCAGACGAACCCCCCCCCCCCGAAAAAAAAAAAACATTCCCAAACCTAAGCATAAACTTGCTGTAAACCTTCTTCCCTTCGCAGCGCCTTCTCACACGCCGCGATGGTCACCGTGTATGTCGCCAGGGTCGGCAGGAGTTTGACGGCATCTGCCGCGGAGGCGTTGGGGTTTGCGCGTCATTCTTAGATCAGGCACGAGGGGCAGGGGTTTGAAAACGGTTTCCTTAATCCCTAAACCCGACACCGAGAGCGCCCTCGATTGATCGACGGAGCGGGGGGGGTGCCTCCACCTGTTGTACAGCTACTGGGATTCTCGAAAGGGTACGAAGTCCAATGAGGCCATGGGGGCGTTCCTAGTGTTGAAAACCCCTGAGATGGTCCGAAGACGCGTCCGACAACATATCTCAAGCCCTTATAGGACCACCCCCTCCCCCAAAGACCTAACCCCGGCGACACCTGAGAACTCCTGATGAGACATCCGCTCGTCAGGATGGTTTAGGGTTTAGGGTTTAGGGTTTAGGGTTTAGGGTTTAGGGTTTAGGGATTCTTGGGTTTAGGGTCTAGGGTTTAGGGTTTAGGGATTCTTGGGTAGGCTTCAGCTTCTTCATCAAGGGACCTTATAAACCCTAAACGCTCTCCACAAGCCAAGGCCCTGGCGGAGGTCCGTGAAAAGGTGGAGGGCCAAGCGCCAGCGACGTGCATTTTCGCACGCGGCAATGGCTGCATTGTAACCTGAAGCTTTTCTTAGACCAACATCTGCTACACCCAGAAGAAACCTAGGAATAGAAAGGGTACCCTTTTTGGTGTTAAGGTGGTTAGGGTTTAGGGTTTAGGGAGAGCTTCCTAAAGTGTCCTCAAAGGGCTCTGTGTACATACATGGGCCTGTATCCCTATGTGTAAGGCCAGGCTTAGGGATTTTCAGGTTTAGGGTTACCCAACCTCGAGCTTGCTATTTCCCAAGCAGTGCTTGCCCTCTGTGAATTCCCACTGCGTATGGACTAGGACCCGGAGTAGGCCCTTATTTCCTTCTTTAGGGTTGGGGTTCCCTTGTAACCTCCTTAAACCCTTAACAGAAACCCTGGAAACGCGCCGGGTCCCCGGCTGATAGTGGTGGGGCGTGGCCCCTTCCTGAGGTAAAGGATCGCTATGTATAGGTATATATGTATATACACACACATGTAGGAAGTTGATGTAAGGGTCAAACAGGGTATTTACGTAGGGATTGCCACATCTCTATATATGTATATGTATATATATATGTATATATATATATATGTATATATATATATATGTATATATATATATATGTATATATATATATATGTATATATATATATACATATGTATATATATGTGTATATATATATATGTATATGTATATATATATATATATATGTATACGTACATATACATGTATAAGCATGCCTCTTTTCAGCATGTAGAAGGCTTTATATTCAGCCTCTTATAAGAGGCATCTCAGGGAGGCAGCCCGAAACTGTCCCCAGAATAGTAGGGTCTATAGGGCTTTCATTAGGGTTTAGGGTTTAGGGTTTAGGGTTTAGGGTTTAGGGTTTAGGTTTTAGGGTTTAGGGCTGAGAATTCAGGCAATATATGGAGGCGCACATTGGGGGGTTCAATTCGATTTCTTGTAGGGTTCCACCCCTCCACTCTCCCTAAAGCACCACGAAGCTTTGTTGCTCTTATTAGGCCAGGGAGGTGGCTTCGTGGTTTAAGGTTTGCCGGGGCTTAGAGGGGAGTGTCAGAATCGTAGGCTTCAGGGTTTTGGTCGGCGTGAAGCTTTCACTACCGGGTCCGAAGAACGGCAATCGGCCAGTGAGTCAGTGGCAGGAGCTCAGTGTAGGCCCCTGAATCCAAAGTCAAACCCGCAAGAAACATAAAGCAAACCCTAGACCCTGAACCCAAATACACCCCCTAAACACCTATGATAGTCCAAAAAGGATCCAGAAACCCAACCCTCAACCCTCCACACAAACCCTGAACCCTAAAACCCTAAACACCCAAAGATGGCCCCAGAGGATCCCCCAAAGTAACCCAGCGGCCCGTACAGCAAAGAAATGGCGCGCTGCCAATCCCCCACCTGCGAAAAGGGAGGGGCCCTTAAGGCCCTTTAGGGTTTAGGGTTTAGGGTTTAGGGTTTAGGGTTTAGGGTTTAGGGTTTCGGGCGAAGTGATGGTTGTTGGTGAATCTTGGTTCGGGCTTTAGGGCCTGGAAAACCATGGATATGCTTCTTGTACCCTAAACCCTAAACCCTAAACTCTAAACCCTAAACCTGCCCGCAAAACGACCCTAAATCCTATGAACCCCATAACGTCCGTTTATCCTTACAAAAAACCTATGAACCCTCCAAAGCCCAAAACAAAAAACACGGAGGATACAGGCACTTAATTCATTCGCTCGGCCTGAAACCAGCCGGCTGCTTCAGGGGTGAAGGTTTAGGGCTTAGGGTCCTCAAGTGTTTAGAAGAAGCTCGCACCCGCTAACCCTCAACTTTACAGCCTCAAGACAAGCAAGTAGACGATGTATGTGGCTCACTTAGAACTAGTCCCAAGAATAACCTAGGAATAACTAGGGTGCCCTTCTTGGTTTAAGGGGCTTCTAAAGGAACCTGAACACTAAGGTCCTAGTAACACGAAACCCTAAAAGTTGAACCTCTGGATCCTGGTATCCCGAGCGCACTGCAAGATTGCTGGCCTTAGCACGCCGGCACCAAGCGCAGGAGAACCCTGAACCCTGAACCCTGAACCCTCTAAACCCCCTAAACCCCCTAAACCCCCTAAACCCCCTAAACCCCCTAAACCCCCTAAACCCCCTAAACCCCCTAAACCCCCTAAACCCCCTAAACCCCAAACCCTAAACCCCAAACCCTAAACCCTAGCTCTTTGCTCAGAGAATTCGAAGCTAGGGTCCAGTTGGTTTAGGGCTCTTTTTTGCGTTGACGGTTTGGGGCTATCTAGGGTTTAGGGTTTGGGGTTTAGGGTTTGGGGTTTGGGGTTTAGGGTTTAGGGTTTAGGGTTTAGGGTTTAGCGTACATGGGCTTCAGGTGCACGTAGGGCTCTAGTAGGCTTTGGCTTAGGTTTTGGGCCAATGCCCAGCCCTGCCCTACATGTATTTGAACACGAACTCCCATGGAAATAAACATGTAAAGAAACAAAACTACTAACAAACTCCTATGACGACTCTCGAATTGGGTGTGGGCGGCCTTCTCACAGGCGCTGATTGCGGCGTTCAGGCTAATCGCGTCCGGCGTCAGCCGCGCCTGCCCAGGTGCCACTGCGGACTGCCAAAAACCGGGGAAACGACCCTGCAAACCCGCATGCAAACCCGCTAAACCCTCAACCCCAAACCCTAAACCCTAAACCCCAAACCCCAAACCCTAAACCCTAAACCCTAAACCCCAAACCCTAAACCCCAAACCCCAAACCCTACAGGGCTTGGGGAAGCCTTGGGTCGACAGCACAGGACTTCTGAGTTTGGAGTTTAGGGTTTACCTCATCCCTGGAGCCTTTTTACCAGGTTCAGGGTTCACGGTTCAGGGTTCAGGGTTTAGGGTTTAGGGTTTAGGGTTTCGGGTTTAGGGATGTTTAGGGTTTCGGGTTCAGGGTTTCTGGGGTTTAGGGCTTTAGGGTTTAGGAAGATTTCCTGCCCGATCGACCTTCGGCATCTCCGATAGAAGATGCAGCGCCCAAGGCCATTGATGGCCTGGGCGTACGTTTGATCCTCTCTCGTGCGGCTGAACTTCAGCCCCAAACCCTACACCCTAAACCCTAAACCTGAAAGCCCTTGTGAGAGAACCTTAAACTTTAAACCCGAACGCCCTTTTGACCGTACCCCTAAACCCTAAACCCTAAACCCTAAACGCTCAACAGCTCCAAGTCATGCGGCACTTCTCGCAGGCGCTGATGGCCGCGTTGTAGGTAATGAGCTCTGCGCCAAACCTTTGGCTTCCAGGTTGAAGGGTTGAAGGGTTTAGGGTTTAGGGTTTAGGGTTTAGGGTTTAGGGTTTAGGGTTGAAATCTCTTTTCCAAGCCAACAGGCCTAGACCCTAACACTAAGTCCTTCGACTGCTACACCCTGCAGAAGTACATGAACGAGACATGCTGAGGCCCCTAAACCCCAACCCTAAACCACCCAAAACCTTAAGCTGAGTTACATCCTCAACCTTTGCGTCTGAGAGGTGTGCGGCTTTGGCTGTGTTTAGGATTTTCGGCCCGGACTTATAGAATACAAGACCCGTTTTTTTTGGGGGGGGGTTCGGGTTTTTTTACCTATAGAACCCCTTCCTATCGAAAGACCATGTAAACCAGCCAGTTACTCATTGTAGTCGAAAATGGCCACACTAGGGGTGTTCCATCCTCAAGCCCCAAAACCCTGAAACCGAAACCCTGAACCCAAGACCTAAGACCTAAGACCCTAGACCCTGAACCCTAAGACCCTAAACCCTAAACCCTAAACCCTAAGGCCCTAAAACCCTGAAAACCCTGAAAACCCTGAAGCCCTGAAACGCGTCCTAGCAGCCCCAAGTCGGACAGACCCAGCAGAGCAAGAGCCTGAGAGACCAAGGGCTTGCTTCCTAGGGCAGCTTAATCTAGGGGTTTATGGCCCAAACCCTAAACCCTAAACCCTAAACCCTAAGCCTCTAAACCCCTAAACCCGTCTATGGTTTGGGGTCTGGGGAGGGAGTTTGGGTGCATAGGGTTTGGGGTGTTGGGGTTGTAGGGTCTAGAAGGTTGTACGGGTTTAGGGCTGTGGGGTGCGGGCTTTAGAGGGTTTTCGAGCTTTGGGTTGTAGGGTGTTAGGCTTTATAGGGTTTTGGTGCTTAGGGTTGATGGGTTTATAAGGTTTAGGGTGAGGGTTTTCAGGGTAGGATCAGGGTTCAGGGTTTAGGGTTCAGGGCTTTCTAGGGCTGTCGGGATTTCGGGTTCAGGGGCCTGAGGGCTTTAAAAAATCTAGGGCTCTAAGGTTGCGCAGCTCGCTCTTTCTTGACACCCGAAACGCGACAGTGGAGACCCTGACCTGGGTCCTACCTAAACCCGAAAGCCTAAGCGCTAAGCCATAAGGTCGAGTACCCTGCATTGTGAATTGGACTTCGGAGCCTGTCTAGAAACCCGAAACTGCGCTGTGAGCGCTTTTTCTCTAAACCCTAAACCCTAAACGCTAAACCCTAAACCCTGTGTGTTCAGGGGTTGGGGGGGGGGGGGGGGGGCTTGAGGTGGTTTAGAATTTAGGTTTAGGGTTTAGGGTTTAGGCTTTTGGGCGGGGCGGAGATGGCTTGAGGTGGAAAGTTGAGGGTTTATAGAATTTATATAGGGTTTCCAGGGTTGGGCTGGCTCTCGGATCTTTTTAGACTGAAGCGACATGAAACCCCAAGCACAAACCGATATCCATCCCCTTCTCAAGCTACTCTTCAGCAAGTTGGGGCGGTGTCTCATTTGGGCTTTAGCCCTAAACCCTAAACCCTAAACCCTAAACCCTAAACCCTAAACCCTAAACCCTAAACCCTAAGCTGAAGCCCAGGGCTCTTTAAACCCTATAAGCCCTAAGCCCCCACAGCGATTCTCCCTCACGGACGCCGCCTCGCGCCAGCGCCGCCCTTTTTCGCAGGCGCTGGTGGCGGCATTCAGGCTGATGACGTCCGGACCTGGGTTAGGGTTTAGGGTTTAGGGTTTAGGGTTCAGGGTTCAGGGTTCAGGGTTCAGGGTTCAGGGTTCAGGGTTCAGGGTTCAGGGTTCAGGGTTCAGGGTTCAGGGTTTAGGGTTTAGGGTTTAGGGTTTAGGGTTTAGGGTTTAGGGTTTAGGGTTTAGGGTTTAGGGTTTAGGGTTTCGGGTTTAGGGTTTAGGGTTTAGGGTCAGGTCTGGTGGCTTCCGGGGTTCGGGGGGCGATCAGGAGGCTTGGTCATGGGGCTTCGGGCTCGAGGGAGCTATGGTGGAGGGCGCTTAGGACCCTAAACCCTAAGCCCTAAGCCCTAAACCCTAAACCGCCAAGCGAGGATGGCATGCTGCGAGAGTTCGGACGAAGGGCAATCATTCTTAGTCAAGAGAGTCTAGGTTGTCTGGTAGGTAAGGCACAAATCTCGCTGCGCAGGTTCTGCAACGTGAGGCGTCTGTTGTTGGCTCGACAAGGACAGCACGGCCTCACGATCCGGCGTCGGCGGGTCAGGTTCCTAATGCACTCTAAGCCTCAAACCCTAAAGGGTTTAGGGTTTAGGGTTTAGGGTGTAGGGTTTAGGGTTTAGGGTTTAGGGTTCCTAAGGCACTCTGAACCCTAAACTCTAAACCCTAAACCGCTACACCTTCCCGTGCCAAAGCGCGCGGGCCACGATCTCGCATGTGCCAGAAAAGCTCCAAAGCCATGTCGGCCTGAGACCAGGGGTGTTGTCAAGGGTACAACCCAATATGAGCATGTCCCAAAATAGGGGTGGCCCTTTTCTGCCCCAAATACATAGAACCCCCTTAAAGGCACCCTTAAACGACATTAGGGGGGGGTGCCTTAGTGGGGTCCTTACAAAAAGGGAATTCCTACTATTTTGTCAGGGTCTTTTTTTTTTCGTAAACCCCAATATCTGAGTTAGATACCGCCCACAAGGAGGTGGTGTACTCCTCTGCCTAAAGCCCAAGGAGAACTGAGCTGTTCTTAGGGTTTAGGGTTCTCGGGCTTTAGGGTTTAGGGTGAGCCCCAGGCGGTTGCAAGAAGCACTAGACACTCAACCCCAAAAGTCCTGAAACAGCAAGGATTTGGGGAGTTCAGGGATTTTGGCCTCTTCCACTTGGCGACCCTCTAAACCCTAAACCCTAAGGTTTAGGGTTTAGGGTTTAGGGTTTCGGGTTCAGGGTTTCGGGTTTAGGGTTTAGGGTATAGGGTCGAAGTGGGTTTGTGGGTTCTTGGGCCACCGTCACCTGCGCGCATTTCTCGCAGGCGCTGATGGCGGCGTTGAAGCACACGGAGTTGGGGTACACCTCCCAAGACACCCAGCCCCTCAACGCCAAAAGCATCGTCAAAACTTAGAAGCCCTAAACCCTAACCCCCCCTCAACAAAATATATGTATACATTTATACACATGTATATATAGATGAAAGTTTTTTGAATATGAATAGGTAAGCAAATGCGTTGGGGGCCCGGGGTTCTGTCCGGGCCGGAGAATGTTTCAAAGGTTTCATCAAGTCCCGAACCCCTACAAGCCCTAAAGGCCCTCAGGGTTTAGGGTTTAGGGTTTAGGGTTTAGGGTTTAGGGTTTAGGGTTTAGGGTTTAGGGTTTAGGGTTTAGGGTTTAGGGTTTAGGGTTTGGGGTTTGGGGTTTGGGGCACCACAAACCCCAAGCCCTGAACCCTAGTTTAGGTTTTGGGGTACTACAAACCCCAAGCCGAAACCCTGGGGGCTCTCAGAAGCCGTTCAAGGTTCCGGGTTGGTTCCTGGGGTTTAGGGCAGAGGGTTTCGGGTTTAGAGGGTTTATAGGGTTTATAGGGTTTAGGGTTTATAGGGTATAGGGTATAGGGTTTAGGGTTTAGGGTTTAGGGCTCCACAAGACCTGCATGGACCCGATATCCTTCTCTCTCTCTGAGTCTCAGCAGAGCTGCTGCGATGTCCCCCGCACCTCCCTCTCTCAAAAGCCGTGAAGCCCTAGACCCTACGCCCGAAACCCTAAACCCTAAACCCTATACCCTATACCCTAAACCCTAAACCCTATGCCTTATAAGCCTTAGAAGCAGGCCTCCTGATGCTGCATGTCGGATAACCTGCACGGGTGTCGCTTCTCGCGGGCGCCAGCTATGGGCAGCCATGTCGGGCTTGCGGGAACCCCCAAGGCCCGAAACCCGGAGCTACCAGGAACTACCCTACTAGGCCCGAACCCCTAAGCCCTTGCAAACATCTTTGTGTGTCGCGGATCTTGGTGGGGTGGGATGTGTGGAAATGGCATCTTCTGCAGGATTCCAATACCCTCAAGGGTTTTAGGATTCAGGGTGCAGAGTTGCTAGTTCGTAGAAGCCACAACCTAGCACCCCTAGCACCATGGTACTCCTGCCCCTGGTAATGTCGTAAAAACCCTAACCCTGCAAACCTGAAAACCCGCCCCCAAGAAAGCCCCCGCCTCCTGATTGCAAAGCCTGAAATCTCGAGAGATTGAAGAAAAAACAACCTTGTCTTCGAGGCGTAGAGTTGTTTTCCGCTCGATAGGGTTTAGCTCCCTTATTCTCCACGAACGCCAATCCCTAAACCCTAAACCGAAAAACAGAAAACATCAGCCACGAAGCCCTAAACCCTAAACCCTAAACTCTAAACCCTAAACCCTAAACCGAAAAACAAAAACATCAGCCACGAAGCAGGGCGACCGCGCGTTGCCACTGCAATCCTTTCTCACAGGCGCTGATGACCTGAGACGACCGCTAAGGTCTTGAGGGGGGGACGAGGGAACCCTGAGCCCCGCTAGGGCTTCTTGGTTTAGGGTTTAGGGTTTAGGGTTTAATTAGGGTTTAGGGTTTAGGGTTTAGGGTTTAGGGTTTAGGGTTTAGGGTTTAGGGTTTTTTGAGTGTGGGAACGTCAGGAGTTAGGAGTTTAGGGGTCTTAGCAAGTTGTGGAAGATGAGGACCCCCAACCCCATTTCTTTGGGTTGAAAGCTTCGGGCTGAGGGCAGTTTAGGGTTTAGGGGTTCAGGTTTAGGGTTTAGGGTGTAGGGTTTAGGGTTTATGGGCTTAGGGTTTAGGGTTTAGGGTTTAAAATTAGGTGGGTGACCTAAGCAGGGGACAGCTCAGGAAGTTTGAGGCGTTTGGTTTCCGAGCCTAAGACCTCACCCCCTAAACCTAAACCGTCTGCAAGCCCTCAGCACCCTTACAGTAAACTCCCAAAAAGCGGAGCACCCTTATCCGTATACCCCAAGAGGTATACTAAAGGGAACCCCAAATCCCAGCTCTAATCATCCTTAAACCATGTTCCAACTTGCTAGAGTGTAAACACCCTTAAAACCCAAGTTCTTCGGGGCATTGGGGGGTTCTAGTGACCTGTTCAAGGGCGAAGGAATGGGTCGGGGTGCCGCGCCATAGGTCACGACGTTTGGCTGCACGTCGTCCTTCGCCATCGTCCTTAGGCTGGTGAGGGTTAGGGTTTAGGGTTTAGGGTTTAGGTTTTAGGGTTTAGGGTGGCTCTACGGCAGAGTCCCCCCTGAACCCACCCTTACCCACATCGATATCCCAGTTTCATGATGTTTATCATGCTCAAACTACTTGCAATGCAAAGATTTTTACAGTATCATTAAACACTGATATTTGCAGAACTGGAATCGTTGGTGTATATATATATATATATATAATCTATATTTAGTCGGTAGCCAAGTCCTCCGCCCGGGCCGAGGTGAAGGTGACTGACTTCAGTCCCCTAAACCCTCAACCCTAAACTTCAGGAACTTAGGGCTGCGAGCCCGCCCGATTCCGAGTCACTCATTGCGTCCTTGCCCGGACCTCGCAGCTACGTAGAGCCACAGGTAGTCCAGGCAAACCCTCCAGAACCATAAGCCCTATTTCAAACCCAAATCCTGAACCCTGCACCCTGAACTCGCCGCTCTTATAGCCCTAAACCCTAAACCCTAAACCCTAAACCCTAAACCCTAAACCCTAAACCCTAAACCCTAAACCCCAATGCCGACGCAGAGTCCGGAGCATTTCCACGGCCCACTCCCAACGTCGGCCTTTCTCACAGGCGGAGGCGGCCGCAGAGTAGGCAACCTCGCACTTTAGGGTGAGGCCGGTTTAGGGTCTTTAGGGCTTAGGGTCTAGGGTCTAGGGTTTAGGGTAGGGTTTAGGGCCAAGCGACTCAAGTGTCCCAAGTGCTCCAAACGACCCATGCAGCACAAGTCTTATCGGTGGCGAAACGAAGACTTCATAGCAGGTTCGTCGAAAGCGCCAGAAGTTCGTGTTGCTATGAAAATTCAAGAGGCATTGACTCCGTGAGAGTTTTGGGGCGGGCAGGTCCGCAGACCAGCATGCACCTACACGGCGCGCTTCCGTTTTTGACATGCCCTAAAGCTCAAACCCCAAACCTTGGGATGTTCCCCCCTTGTACTAACAGTCCTTAGTAGGAATAATAGTACCCCTGCTCTAGTCCCTAATAAGGAGCTGTTAGTTTAAGGTGGAACATCCCAACCTCAACCACAAGTGTGCGAGGGGAAGGCGCCACGCTGATGTCGAGATGGAGCTCGTCCATCTCGCTGAGCCTTTGATCACTGGCTTACTACTGTTTGCTTGGGAACCCCAAAAAAATCTCTTCCCCATAAGGGCAATAAGGGTAATAAGGGGATTATTTATTCTTTCTTTTTTTATAGTTCTTAAGCAAATAGTGGTTTATGGATCCGGGCTTAAGACAGGACCGTACCATAACCAGAACGGGAACCTGATACAGTCAGAGGCAGAACATTGAGGCTACAAAGCTAGTCTGAAGACAGACTTTTCCTTTGTTCAAGGGCGTGCTAATGCAAGTTGGAGCGAAGGAGGGGGGACTGGGTTTCCGGGATTGGGGGTTTTAGGGCGCAGCATTTTCCTGGCTCTGGTTCAGTTGAGGCTTCTGTCTAGGCACACTGTCTGAAAATATTCCCCGCAAGCCACTCCGTTGGGGCTTCTGTCTAGGCACACTGTCTGAAAATATTCTCCGAAACTGCAAAGCCCACCGAATCCCCAAACCCTGAACCCTAAACCCTACACCCTAAACACTAAACCCTAAACATCCTCAAGTCGACCCCTAAGCCCAAACGGGAGCCCGCACCCCACAAATCCACCCTAAACCCTAAACCCTAAACCCTGAACCCTAAACCCTAAACCCTGAACCCTGAACCCTGAACCCTGAACCCTAAACCCTAAAGTCCTGCTGAGGGCTCGCTACCAACACTTGAGAGCCCGAAGCTGTCCGAGCTTCGCGAGCGACCTGAGAGCACGAACGTGCAGCCCAGGTAAAGCTGGGGCTGCTGGACGCTCCAAGGCAAGGCAAGCCCACACTGGCCGTCAAGGCGGTCGAGCCTTTGAGTGTCAAAGGTAAAGACCCGCACCCCAAGACAATTGCTCGTGCAACCTTGCCCCCTCCCCAGACCACTGAGCTCCCCCAGACCATTTCTGAGCCTTATTCAGGCTCCTCCCCGACAATTTCTGAGCGCTTCCCATTTCTGAGCCTCTTCTTTAAGCTACTGCAAAAAAAGCTTTTTTTAGTCACAAGGAAGCTTCTCAAAGCCCCCAAATGGGGGGACCCAGGATTGGCCTGGACCCACAATGAAAACTAAAATCAATGGTTCTGGGAGGCCTCTCGTTTCTGGAATTTTTGGGCTCCCGGAACCCTAGCAGGACCCCACAAAAGCTTCTGGTAGCCTCCAGAAACCTTGAAACCTTCGTGAAAGACCCTGGACGCTTCCCGGGAGCTTCGAAAGCTTCGCTTCAGGAACTTTGGCGTCCTCCACAAGCTTCGACAGCTTCGCCTCAAGCCTTTTCACAGCCTAGTCTTCGTCAAGGGAGAGTCGTATCGGGACGCTGGCCTGCTCGAGGGGCAGCGCTACCCCTTCGGTAACCCAAATTGCTTTGCGTCGATGGTTGCCGTGCTGGCAAACGAGGATCGCAGAGGAGGGACGCCAAATGCCCTCACATAAGCATGTCGGGGACGCTGGCCCGGTCGACGAACACCTTCAAACAAGCCCGTCCCGATGTTCATGATGAAGAGCTACCCGCCCGACCTTCTACGGTAACCCAAACCAATCTGTGAGACACATGCCAGACGCCTTACGCGGGATGCCAAACGCCTTCAAACAAGCATGTCCCGATTTTCATGATGAAGGGCTACCCCCGCGACCTTTTCACAGCCTAGTTTTGGGGTCAAGGGAGGGCGAAACATAGGGGCAGCGCTTGCCAGAACTTCACCTCTTTGCAGCCCTGCCCCCGCGAGGCTCAGATCGGGACGGTGCCGAAACAGCGTGCGCAGGGCACAGCACGCCCCCGCTGGAAAAAGCAAAGCAGACTTTAGGAACTAAACACTAATATGCCGGGTGGCTTGGGGTGGGCTTACCGCCATGCGATGTTGCGAGCGACACGGGCAGAGGGGCCGGTTAGAAAAATAAGGTGAGGCCCCGGAGCCCAGCGCGCAACCCAGAACGCAACACACCCTAAACCCTAAACCCTGACTCCCACGCCGTCTCGCCGGGGGGCAATCCCAAGGCGGTCTGCCACTGCGCGCCCAAGGCACAGGCATTCACGGCGCTGCTGAAGGAGATGGCCTGGGTTTAGGGTTTAGGGTTCAGGGTTCAGGGTTCAGGGTTTAGGGTTCAGGGTTCAGGGTTCAGGGTTCAGGGTTCAGGGTTCAGGGTTCAGGGTTCAGGGTTCAGGGTTTAGGGTTTAGGGTTGCGGATGTTCCCCCTTATGCTAACTAACAGTCCTTCGTAGGATTATGGTATCCCCTAGTATGATCCCGATTAAGGACTAGTAAAGCGGGGAACATCCCAATGTTTTGAGCTGAGGGCAACCCTTGTTGGAAGGGGGGGGGAGGGGGTGGGTCCCTTTCAGAGGAGTCTTCTATGTTTGTTTGGGGTGTATAAGGGAAGTTAGGGCAGTTTAGGGCTTCGGGGAGACTCCAGTCTGGGGGCGAGGCGAAGGTGAACGGGCGCAGGTTTCCAGGGCTGTGGTGCTTTGCGGTTTGGGTGGTTCCGAGGGGATGCTCCACCTGCCTAGAAACCCAACGCCCACGTTCCAGAACCGAACTCGATAAAGGGTTTAGGGTTTAGGGTTTAGGGGTGATATAACAAGTGACAAACAACCGAACCACAATTTCATTATCGAATAGAACAATCAAACATGGAGAGCATGTAGTTGTGAAAATGTAGAATGTGAACAGATGATCATGCAATGTCATAATAACATGATGCTACAACAATATAATCGTATACGAATATCACAATATAACGAGCATACGTGTTTTATGATAAAGAAACATCAAACATGATAAGCGCAGTAGTAACAAATGAATGAAATATCGTAGCGCCCGAGTCCCTGAAACTTTGAAACAAAAGACCCCACCAAACCCTAAACTCTAAACTCTAAACCCTAAACCCTAAACCCTAAACCCTAAACCAGGCAGTCCCAGGCGCTGAGACATCGAAGGACGCCAGGGGCATGGAGCGGAGCAAGCGCAAACTTTGTTGCCAGTGAGCTCCCTTGCCCCAGGCCGTGATGCCTTGTTGGGTGCGGTTTGCAGGATTTGGGGCGATTACAGTGTCATGGATACAGGGACACTAAGGGAATACAAAAGTACTTATTCCGACCCCTATACTACAGGAATTCAGGGAACCTCCCTGAGGGCCAACCACGGAGCCAAGCGCAGTTTAGCGTTTAGGATTTAGGGCCCCTACCGGTCCCATCTAGCTACAGTCCAGCACTTGAGTGAGCCAGCTCCGTTCCAGCCAACTCCCATAAACAACTACTTCTTTTCATGTGATGAGCTAACAAGATAATGCGGTTGCAGAGGGATTCGGCCCGTGAAACTTGAAAGGTTGATTCCACATGAATCCCAGAATGGGGCAACGCAGCTTTGGGTTTCAACTCTAAACCCTGAACCCTACACCCTAAACCCTAAACCCCAAGTCCCCAAATCCCGACATCCCCCCAAAAACGGTGGACAAAAAGCTCAAACAAACAAAACAAAAACTCAAGCCCGGGCGCCTGCGTTCATGGTGCCTTGGTCGCTGCAAGGCGCGGCGGCCAAGAGGTGCAGCGCCCAGGGCCAGTGCGAAGAGCGGCTGACGGGAGGATTGGGGTTTAGGGTTTAGGGTTTAGGGTTTAGGGTTTAGGGTTTAGGGTTTAGGGTTTAGGGTTTAGGGTTTAGGGTTTAGGGTTTAGGGTTTAGGGTTTAGGGTTTAGGGTTTAGGGTTTAGGGTTTAGGGTTTAGGGTTTAGGGTTTAGGGTTTAGGGTTTAGGGTTTAGGGTTTAGGGTTTAGGGTTTAGGGTTTAGGGTTTGGGGTTTAGGGTTTAGGGTTTAGGGTTTAGGGCTCCTAAGCTCCTAGGCTTAGAGGGGCATTTCCCGAAATAGTCAGAGGATCCATTGCACAAGGGACACCTCTTCTGGGAAACTCTCCCATAGAGCTTCGGATTCTTTGAAGTCTGTGTGGCTCCCTAGCCCCAGGTGCGTCGTGCTGTGAGTGTGAGGCCCGTTCACCTGTGTTCTTCTCTGAGCACTACGAGTTTAGGGTTTAGGTTTAGGATTTAGGGTTTGGTGGTGTAGAGTTTCGGTTTTGTTTAGGATGTTACGGTGAGGAAAAACACCTCAACCCCCAACCATAAACGCGAAAACGAATCCCCCAACCACCCTTGCCACCCTAAACTATGTAGTTGCAGACTCCAGTCCCTAACCCAAACCCCAACTGGAACCTGGAACCTGGAACCTTCAACCCTAAACCCTAAACCCTACTTTAAGCTGGGCCTGCACACGCCCATGGTCGCTGCGACGACCTGTGGGTCCACGTCGTCTTCGGCCTCAGGGGCGTTCAGAAGTTGAGGGCTTTAGGGTTTTAATGTTGAACCCTGATTAGTGTAGGCCCCCCCCCCCCCCCCGGAACAGTCGAGGCTGGATTTTGCTCTTTTTAGACGGCCCCAGGGCTTTACATGATTCAAATAGGGAGGAGTTCAGATAAGTTTGAAAGGGGCAGTGATGCCCGGCAATCTTTTTTTAAAGGCGCGCCACGTGGAATTTTCTTACGGCGCCCGGACGATTTGACTTTAAACAGGGACTCACAAACAGTCAGGATGTCCTGAATAACACGGCCAAATTGACTTTATAGAGGAGGCCCCTGCTTAACAGGGTCCAACATTAGTGTTTAGGGCAAGTTTAGGGTTTAGGGTTTAGGGTCTTCAGGGCTTAGGGTACCAGCTTCCGAACATGAAAGGCGTAAGCCCTCCGAGCTAACATTCAAAGGCCCGATGCCGGAACTCTGCCCTCCGAACCCTAACCCCTACTAGGTCGCCCAGTAACCTAGGATGAAAAAGGTGCCCTTTTTTGCTTAAAGGGGTTTCTAAGGGAACCTAAACCTACCAAAAAGGGAATAAGGGTACTGGGCATCCTAGCCTAGACGCTGTAAGCCCTAAACCGAAACCTCTGACTGATTCAAACCTTCCCCCCAAAGACCTTCAGCAAGCTCTCGACCCTGAACTTTTCTCCCCTTCGCCCTAAACCCTGGAACCCTACACCCTTTCATCCCCCAGCTTGAAAACTCTTGGACCTTCAAGCCCAAAATCCTGAGCGAGCCTGGGGAGGACCTAGAAAACAGGCTACCAAAAGCTTCTGGGCTCCGGTATGGTAACTTCCACAGGGGACGACTCTGAATAGAAGGGTTGCTACAGACAAGATACGGCCCCAAAGCCAAACACCGAAGCTTCAAGCCCCCTAAACTGCAGTTAAGCCCTCAACCTTCAACCCTAAACCCCTTTTCGGGGCCTTGTATAGTGCGCCGTAGGCGGCGAGCACCTGTGACCACTTGCCGGCCCTGCCAACTGCCGAGGCCAGCGTGCTCCTCCCGGGGAAGTCGGGTGTTTCTCAGAGCGCGCTATGGGCCCCAATTCCCCAGCACCCATGCGATAAGATCCCTGTGTCGGATATAGAACTATAAAAAATGGAAACAGGGTGTCGGAAAATCGTGGGGGGGGGGGGGGGGGGGGGGGGCGGGGAATTCCTGACGACGCATTGGCTGGCGCCTCATTACAGTTGGTGACGCTGCATTACGGCGACGCATTATTGGGGCACTTGGTGACTCCGCATTGCGGCGACGCGTTATTGGCCCACTTGGTGACGCCGCATTCCAGCAACGCAACATCGGGCATTGTGCAGGCTCTGTGGAGTCTCCAGGATCCTAAAGATTCCCCATGCCCCCAGACCACACAATGAAAATATAGGTCACCCCCGTGATCCATGACTTCTTACTTGGTGTATATAGTATTGAAACAACAGAGATGCATAAACCGAATCCGTTTGCGTATTTGGCTTTGGATGGTTGTCGAATCCTCCTTGGTTTCATTCCACTCATATATATATATATACATGCATGCCACGAATATATGTATGCAAATACATTATATATATATATATACATACACACACTCGCTCCTAACACGCAGAACATGGGGGGTGGGGGGGGGTTCCGAAATTTCAGTAGGGGTACGTTATTGGGGTCCTGATTATCAGGGGAGTCCTTCTGTTTGGTGGTGTGTATGCGCGGCCCCCTTGTTCACGTAAACCCAAACCCTAATCCCTAAACCCTAAACCCTAAACCCTAAACCCTAAACCCTAAACCCCAAACCCCAAACCCTAAACCCTAAACCCTAAACCCAACCCCCCCAATCCAGATCTTCGACTCTCGGAGCAGTGCCAGGTCTGAGGGCCGCAAATTGCCCGCCTGGTGTGCGCGGAGTTTAGGGCTTGGGGTTTAGGGTTTAGGGCTAGGGTTTAGGGGCTTGGGGCTGAGGGTTTAGGGTTTAGGGTCTAGAGTTTCGTGTTTCGGGCTCAGGGGGCTTGAGGTTTAGGTCTTGGGCTTCGGCTCAGGGATCGGGGGCTTAAGGTTTAACACAAACAAACACCAATTGCTTCCAAACCCTAAACCCTAAACCCTAAACCCTAAACCCTAAACCCTAAACCCTAAACCCTAAACCCTAAACCCTAAACCCAGGGCTTTGACCTTCGGGTGTCGTACCTTGAGGGACTAGAGGAGGGGGGTCCGTGCGAGGGACTCGGGGGGAATGTAGGGTCTATGTTGGGGTTACTTGGGTAATCTAAGGGGTCTATGGGGTCTTGATGAAGATCATGTAGAGTTCTAGGAACCCTAAACCCTAAACCCTAAACCCTAGACCCTATATATCCACCATCCACCTCCTGGGCTGCGGTAGCCAGCCATCTCCGGGCCTGCTCGCCTGAGTCTTCACATGGGGGTTTCCGAAATTAGGGATTGGGTTTAGGGTTTAGGGTTTAGGGTTTAGGGTTTAGGGTTTAGGGTTTAGGGTTTAGGGTTGAGGGTTGAGGGTTTAGGGTTTAGGGTTTAGGGTTTAAGGTTTAGGGTTTAGGGTTTAGGGTTTAGGGTTTAGGGTTTGGGGGTACCTTGTTTGGGGTCCTGGTTGTAAGGGAATCCTACTATTTGGGGGTCTATACTAAGGGTCCCTATTTTCGGGTTAGGGTTTAAGGCTTATCCGATAACAGAGGGTTTCTAGGGTTCGGGTTTTTAGGGTCTAGGGTTTTCGGGGTTAGGGTTTTTAGGGTTTAGGTTTATAGGGTTCAGGGTTTAGGGGATGAGGGTTTGAGGTGTAGGGCTTAGGGCCGTTCTTACCACCTCTTACTCTTGTGATTGCGATGGCAACCTTTGTTCGTATGTTTTGGTATGACTCTTGCACCCTAAACCATAAACCCTAAACCAATTCCTCTTACTCTGAGCTTCTTACGCGCCCCATCGACAAGCAGCTAAGCCTGAACCTGGCGCCGTAAGCTCTTTTACTTTGAAGCCAAGGGGGAGTCTGGGGTGTGGGACGTCAAGGGTTTAGGTGTTAGGGTCACTCGTTCAGGGTTTGGGGTCTTTTAGCCTAAGCCCCGCAACGCAACCCGAAATCCCAAAACACGTGCGGCGAGGAGCGGTCGCGGCGACTGCCCCGGTCGAACTTCCTGGGGCACCAGCTCTATAGACTAGCCAGCTGTATAGGAGGGGTAGGCTTTAGGGTTTAGGGTTTAGGGTTTACGGGGGATTCAGGAGCCGGGTTTGGGTTTGGGCTTCCAGGGTGCGTTTTTTCTATGCTGGTCCTCTCCTGTAACCCCAAACTCCTTTACACCACCATCCGACATCCCAAACCCTAGCCCCAGCTAATCCCTAAAGCCTGTCAAGCCCAAACCCTAAACCCTAAACCCCAAACCCCAAACCCTAAACCCGAAACCCAAAACCCGAAGGAGCCCCAAAACCACGAGGCCCCCTCAAACGCTACCCAGCGCAGCCAAAGCACAGCCGGCTCACGAGCTCTTGCAACTGCAAGGCCGAACCTGTCGTTGGTTTAGGGTTTGGGGGTTTTGGGGTTTGGGGTTTGGGGTTTGGGGTTTGGGGTTTGGGGTTTGGGGTTGGGGTTTGGGGTTTGGGGTTTGGGGTTTGGGGTTTGGGGTTTGGGGTTTGGGGTTTGGGGTTTGGGGTTTGGGGTTTCGGGGTTTGGGGTTTAGAGGTGTTCCCCCTTCTACGAACAGTCCTTCATAGGGATTAGAGGACCCCCCCCCCCCCCCCGAACAGAATCCCGATTAAGGACTCGAAGGTCCCTAAACCCTAAACCCTAAACCCTAAACCCTAAACCCCAAACCCTAAACCCTAAACCCTAGACCCATTTCGAGCTTTGGTGCCTCCTGCTTCGGGGGAGGGGGGCTGTTGGGGCTTTAAGAGTTTCCAGGGTTTCTGTGGCCGAAGGGTTTTGCAGGAACTAACAAAATGGAACCCCCCAGGTAACCTCCCTGTACTAAGACCCTCTAAATGACCAGAAACCCTAAACCCTAAACCCTAAACCCTAAACCCTAAACCCTAAACCCTAAACCCTACATCCTAAGCCCAAAGTCCGCTTGAAGTCCTGGAAGGCCTATCATCAAACCTTAACCCGAACCTTAAGCCAAAGCTCCGTAAACCCTAAACCCTAAGCCCTCAAACTGAAACCCTCAAACTTACACCCTAAACCCTAAACCCTAAACCCTAAACCCTAAACCCCAAACCCTAAACCCTAAACCCTAAACCCTAAGCCCTAAACCCTAAACCCCTAAGTGGCATGGACCTTTAGGGTCTATTTGGCACTTCCTTTTTGTTTGCTATTTAAACGGTTCAATTCACACATACAATTTGTGGGGTTTAGGTTTAAGGCAAAATTTATGGCTTAGGGCTAGTTCGGTTCACGGCTCAGGGCTCCCATGTTTGGCATCACATCTCTTATTTTCCTAGGGCTTCGCCACCTACCTCTCATTCCGTTTTCCATTCAACCCTCGTGTAAGGGTCTGGTGTTTGCGATAAATATACTACTTTAGAAAAATCAATAATAACATAAATAACGCTAACTACAGGAGCTGCTGGAAATGACAAACCCTGAGCGCCCTCAAGTGTGTTGCTTTAATGAAGACGATAATATACTCTTTTGTTGATAAATATTCCCATGACCATATTGTTGTTTCAGCCGCTTTTAGCCTTTTCCTATTAGTGTTGTTTTTGTTTACCTGATATAACACCAAGGAAGGGGAAAGGGAAAACACCACTTCATCTCGATGTGTTTATCTCTCCTTTCCTTCCCTCTCAAGATTTTTCTTTTGTTAATCTCCCTCTCTCTCTCTCTCTTCTTCGCTCTGTCTCGCTCTCTCTCTCTCTCTCTCTCTCTCTCTCTCTCTCTCTCTCTCTCTCTCTCTCTCTCTCTCTCTCTCTCTCTCTCTCTCTCTCTCTCTGTCTGCCATCTCTTGCTCTCTCATCCCTCCCCTCCCCTCTTTCCTTCCTCCCCTCCTTTCCAAAACTTTCTGCGGAGAATAAGGACAACAGAGAACAAAAAGGAAAAGATAGGATGAAGGCAGATGGTGGGGACAGGAAGGGAGAACTCCTCTTTCGCTCGGCTCACACGTTTTCTCTTCCCTTGCCTTCATCCTCTGCTCTTCTCCCTTTTCTCTTCATAAGAAGAAAGGACAAATGAAAGGAACCGAAAGCTCAGGGAAAGCAAGACGCCCTCGCTCTCATCATCTGCCCCTTCCTCGACTTCATTGCTCTATTCCTTGTTCTTCTCTCCTGTCTCATTGGTGATCAGTGATAAACCAAGACGAGCTTGCCGTTCTTTCATTTTCTTTTTCTGGTGGAAAGCTAAGAAGCAGGAAGGAGAGGAAGGAAAGTGGAGAAATAGAAAGAGAAGCAAGAACGGAAAGAACAATACGCAGAAATGACAGAGAGGAAGGGAGAACTGCAAGCCCAGCAGAAGAAGAAGAAGATAGAGAGAGAGAGAGAGAGAGAGATGAAGATAAGATAAGGGTGAAAAGGTGAAAAGAATGAAAACAAAAATCTAACAGCAAAGTAGCTAAACAAAACCTTCTGGCCTACCCCTTCAACTCTAAACCACCCTAAACCCTCGGTACATTGAGATATAACGGCACAGTTCCCGTAGCATGCTATATCAGAAACCATTTATTCCTACGAGACGTACAACCGCCTAAAACACGGTGACAAAAAATAAAACAGCGAGGCATCTGAAAAGACTTTCTGGCCTTCCCCTTCAACTCTAAACCACTAAACCCTCGCTATATAAAGGCTTAACAGCACAGTTCCCGTAGCACGCTATGTCATTTCTTCTTACGAGACGCACAACATAAACCAAGGTTTCGTATACTTTTTGTAGTCAGGATGTGATATCCTGTTGCTTTGGACGAGTATTACGTAAGACTTTAAGCGCCTGTGGGTCTTGCGGATAATTGGAGAATAAGCATCATCCTTGACAAATGATAACCATGATGGGAGACCTGTGGGAAGCATTGAGAATGAAAAAGCAAGATACTTGCGAGCAATTACTTGCAGCCTGTTGGAAGGTCTCAGGAAATCGCGAAAGGACATTTGCTCACAGTATTCTCGTGTCCCTGGGGCTTAAAGTAAATGATTTTCCGCATTACCCTATGCGCTCGAATACTTCTGAGTCTCATGGTTCGTTCTCCGCTATCGGTATTTGATACGCCATACATTTATCCTATATACACACTTGATGTGGGCACCTATTCTACGTACTTTCTCTTTGCGTTTTGCTGACTGAGAGATGTTTTCGGGTGTGAAAAGGCCTTACGCGCCAACATCTGCTTCTGGACAACAAAGTAGAGATAATATGTTTTGTGAAGGGGGGGCCAAGACAGTGCTTAATCGACCCTGGGTTTGACGATTGAAGATTGAAGACGCCGGGGAACTCTCCCCGGATTGATGATGCTCCGGGGAGAGTTCCCGGGCATCTTCAATCTTCAACCTTCAAACACAGGGCCGATTAAGCGCTCCACCTGCTGCTTAATCGGCCCTTGGATTGAAGATTGAATATTGAATATGCCGGGGAACTCTCCCAGGAGTATCTTCAACCCCAGACCCCTGCCGATTAAGCACTTCATCTGCCTAGTCGGCCCAGGGTTGAGAATCCAGGATTGAAGGTGCTCCGGGGAGAGTTCCCGGGCATGTTCAATCTTCAAACCCAGGGCCGATTAAGCAGGCGGAGCGCTCAATCGGCCTTGAGGCCGAAGGATCAGGATTGAAGATTCTCGGGGAGAGTTCCCCGGCATCGTCAACCCGATTAAGCAGCTGGAGCCCTTACTCGGCCCTGGGGTCCAGTAGTTCAATATTTCATATGCTCTGCTAAAGTCTGTAGAATTTTCAAGCCCCCCTCCCAAAGACCCATCTGTATTTTGGTGTTTGGGATACCGTAAGCCAAAGCTAAATGAAAGGGAAGAAGTCCCTTTTTCCTCTGCCAATCTTCTTCCTCCCACTCCTCTCTTCCTCTCCTATTCCTTTCTTAGCATAGAGCATGGAGTGATGAGAGGGAAGGGGTGAAAGCGGATGAGAAAAGTGACAGAGAGGGCAGGGCGAAATCTTCATTTCCTTGCCTTTTTCGTCCCTCTCACCTCTCCTTCTCATCGTTCTCTTGCTTTCTCGTTTGAGAAGGATGTGGACAGGGCATGGAACAAGGCGAGGGAAGGGGGGGGGGGCGAAATCGAGTGAGAAAGGATGGAACAAGGAAGAAATGAGGAAAAATGGACAGGACAGGTCAGGTGTTTGGTTTGGCGACTACTATGTTGGCGGGCGGGGCTTGTCCGGCTTATAAAATCGGTTACGCCCTAATGACTTACCGTGGCTTACTAAGTGACTTAGGTGGCACTTAGCTTGTCCGCGGCATTAGCTTATAAGCGGACTTACGGACTTACGGACTTATGCAACTGGAGTTACAACTCCGAGCTAAGTCTGCCACCCGGGCACGACCACGACGCGAGCACTAGACGGCCACGACACGGCCACGACATTCCCACGACGCGGCCCCAGAGCAACGACACGGCCACGACACGGCCACGACATGCCCACGACATGCCCACGACACGCCCATGACGCAGCCCCGTGGCAAAGTGCCAAGCCGCCCGCGACACGGCCGCGACACGGCCACGACACGGCCACGACACGGCCACGACATGCACGCGACAGGGCCCCAGAACAACGACACGCCCACGACACGGCCACGACATGCCCACGACACGCCCACGACATGTCGAGAGGCCCGACAAACAGAACAGCGCACTCATTGAATAGAAAGTCTGCCGCGAACCAGTTAGCTAGGACTTAGCTAAGTCCACTTATATGGTACCACGGACGAAATTCCACGTTCCCACGAGCACGACTTATAAATGACTTAGCAACAACATATATTCTGGGTTATAACCCAAACGCAAGTGGCATTATAACTCTGCTATATTACTCATAAACGCTTATAAACATCTGGCTCAGTTACGTTGACTTATAAGACAGTTTGCCTGAGTTGTAAGACTGGAAGTCCTACTTGTAAGTGTATACATAAACCACTCAACCGCACCCCGCCAACATAGTACACGTACCTGGACCAGCAGAGCGACAAGCCCAAACCAAAGAGAAAAAGCAAATCCAAATCGCCCACCTCCCGCTCACCCATCTGAAAAAAAACAACAAAAATGCATCCGTAGCGAGTGTTCGCCTACGGTCAAATCGATCTACAGAGGTCCCGGCACATCCCTTGTCGAACAGGCAAAAAAGCAGAAACATAGCAAGGGGGGGTCGGGCTTGCCATTGGTGTTGGCATGTGGCCAAAACACCGCCACAAGGGGATCGTGTCCCCCTGCACCCTTCGGCTAGTCGTGCCAGCCAATCCCTTGACAGGCAAAATCCGACCACGACGTATCGACGCCTCCCCCCGCCACGAACCCGCCTTTTTCGTAGAAGCTGTCAACAGGCCCGATTTCGCCGATTCCGAACCGGCTGAAAACGACGACACACTCGCAACAGCATGTGAACAAGCGAGTGAGGGTACTCTGGGTGTGAAGTTACCGCAAAAACCTCGAGAAGAACTTGACCGAGAGTATCTTCGTCCGACAGCCCACCCAGGAAGCTGCCCGACACGACACCGCTTCGAGAGAAGGCGGCGAAGGCACTCCATGAGCACCCCCCCCAACACCTTCCCCCGAACAAAGAAACCCAATGGCACGGGACCAGTGGAGCAAGACCGCAAGAGTGCGGATGCCGTTAAGAGAATTGGCGGCACTCTCACCCCATCAGTATAAAAGGCCCACCAAACTGTAACCAACCAAAGTGACAAAGGTGACACCCCTCAGGGTATGGAGTTGGTCTCAGTAGGGGCACTACCTTACCCCTAGCTGAGTCCCTTCCATCGCCCACGTGGAGGCCTCCGCCGTCGGGGTGAGGAAACATGGCTCAGAAGAGGAAGCGAGAGATACCCTATCCCATCCCAATGTTGCTATCTCAGGGGCCTCCCGAATGCAGGGGCCTTTAGAGGCTAGAGCTTCCAGTAGCATCCAACCCTCCCTCCCAGCTCGACATGAGACATTGCCTCTCCTCCCCTCCCCTCACCTCTTCCTTTCCTCGCAGAAAGAGACAGACCATAGTCCGCAATCTTATAATGCCCTTCATTCTCCTTGCTTAACCTTGCCTTTTCTATCCCCCCACTTAATGGCAAAAGGAACAGAAGAGGAAAGGCTCATGGGCTGGACACGAGAAAAGCGAGAGCGGGGTCAAGGAAGAGAACGAACATGGAAAAGAAAGGAAGGAGAGCTAGAGGGAAGATAGAGAGATAGAGAGGAGAAATGAAGGACAAAGACCGTGGAAGAAAGGCGTGAGCAATGCTCGGGACATAAGTGTAAGGGGTGAGGAAAAGGAACAGTGGATAACAAAAACAAGTGTCCTGCTTGACCCCTTTTTGTTCTCCAAGCGGCCCTCTTTTCACCATCGCTTCCTTCTTCCTCTCCTTCATTGTTTTTGTTTCCTTCACCCTGTTCCCCTATCTGTCGCTCTTCCACTGTCTTCCTTCTTCCTCTTCTCCCTAATTGTTGTCTCCTTCTCTTTGCTTCTCTATCTGTCTCCATCTCTCTCACTCCGGTGCTCCCCGGCGTTTTCTGTTCAATTGCTCATCCTTTCTGACTTTACGAGGCGGACCCTGTACAAACGATGGGTCCTGTTCTGGACATGGTCCCGCACTGCCTCTTTCCACACACTCCAGACCCCTCTGAGCCGCCCCAAGAGTTTCGGGCGGCCTTCAGAGAGCGTCTCCCAGGGGCCTCCAAGAGCCCCCATATTGCCAAGAAGAAAAACCACACAGAGACATGTAGAGAAGTAGTTACGAGGAGCTGGAGAAGTCCTCCTTCCATCATATCATTCCCTTCATTCTCCTTGCTTAACCTTGCCCTTCTTCTACCCCCCCCCCTACTTAATGACAAAAGGAACAGAGGAAGAAAGGGCCGCAAAAGGGACACAAGAAAGGGAGAGTGCAGAAAGCGGGCGCACGAAGAGCGAAAACGAAAGGAAGGAGAAAGAAAGCTTCTTAAAGACAATAGCATTCCGAAGAACAACGAAATCCTGTCATTTATTGAAATACTGGATGGACTCGTTGATTCCTTTTCAAATGAAGGGTTCTATCGTTCACGGTGTTCCTTAGAACAGGAGGGCCTTTCAGGACAACGCCCTCATCTGTATTCAACATAGGCAGGGCTACCTCTGATTAAGAATACACGGAACGGTTCATTCTAAGAAAATAAACTCTCTCATTTCAATCGGAGCGGACGGACCCACTCATCTATCAAGAAAAGAGCCGAAAGCATTTGGGAGGAATTAAAATACGAATGAGGGGCTATCGCAGTATCCTTTTGTCTTCTGACACGGATTCTTTGACAGAAGGGGTTCCTGCCTCTTGTTTCTTTCAAGAAAGGGAGGCTTTCGAGTGGCAAGGGGCGAACTCACGCCCACCCCAGTCTTTGGGGCCACTCTGAAAACAGCTTGGAGAGGACAGTTGCTTCTCTCTCCTTTTTCTGTTTCTCTATCTCTTGCTCCGTGTCTGTCGTTCTCCTTCCCTCCTTCTGCGAATCTGCTTCTTTCAATATCCACCAGGGCCCCGCCGTTTTCGGGTTCCTTGAAGGGGCTCCCTGAAAGGGCCTCCCAGGGGTTTGAGAGAAGACCGCGAAAGGGCAAAAGGGGACACTTCTTGAAGGATGTTGAATGGCAAGTAAAAAACGGGAGGGGCGAGGAGGAAAGAGGAAAGAACAAGAAGAAGGAAGAGGGGAAGAGAAAGGAATGATGGCAGGAAGGAGGGAAGGAGGCAGAGAGGGAGAGAGACAGAGAGAGAGAGAGAGACAGAGACAAAGAGAAGAGCGCGAGAGAGAGAGAGAGAGAGAGAGAGAGAGAGAGAGAGAGAGCGAGAGCGAAAGAGAAAAAGATGGAGAGAGATACGATGAATAAAAGAACCACACTCAGCTATTTAAAGGGTGTGAAGATGCTCCGGGGAGAATTCCCGGGCATCTTCAATCTTCAATCTTCAAACACAGGGCCGATTAAGCACTCCACCTGCTGCTTAATCGGCCCTTGGATTGAAGATTGAATATTGAATATGCCGGGGAACTCTCCCCGGAGTATCTTCAACACCAAACCCCTGCCGATTAAGCACTTCATCTGCCTAACCGGCCCAGGGTTGAGAATCTAGGATTGAAGGTGCTCCGGGGAGAGTTCCCGGGCATGTTCAATCTTCAAACCCAGGGCCGATTAAGCAGGTGGAGCGCTCAATCGGCCTTGAGGCCGAAGGATCAGGACTGAAGATGCGCGGGGAGAGCTTCCCGGCATCGTCAATCTTTAAGCTTCCAACCCAGGGCCGATTAAGCAGCTGGAGCGCTTACTCGGCGATGGGGTCCAGTAGTTCAATATTTCATATGCTCTGCTAAAGTCCGTAGCATTTTCAAGCCCCCCTCCCAAAGACCCATCTGTATTTTGGTGTTTGGGATACCGTAAACCAAAGCTAAATGAAAGGGAAGAAGTCCCTTTTTCCTCTGCCAATCTTCTTCCTCCCACTCCTCTCTTCCTCTCCTATTCCTTTCTTAGCATAGAGCATGGAGTGGTGAGAGGGAAGGGGTGAAAGCGGATGAGAAAAGTGACAGAGAGGGCAGGGCGAAATCTTCATTTCCTTGCCTTTTTCGTCCCTCTCACCTCTCCTTCTCATCGTTCTCTTGCTTTCTCGTTTGAGAAGGATGTGGAAAGGAGGGAAGGGCAGGGCATGGAACAAGGCGGGCGAAGGCGGAACACAGAGAGGGGGGGGGGGCGAAATCGAGTGAGAAAGGATGGAACAAGCAAGAAATGAGGAAAAAAAGAAGAGGAAGCGAGAGATACCCTATCCCATCCCAATGTTGCTGTGTCTCAGGGGCCTCGGGAGTTGGCAGGGGCTCCCGGGAGCCTCCCGAATGTAGGGGCCTTTAGAGGCTAGAGCTTCCAGTAGCATCCAACCCTCCCTCCCAGCTCGACATGAGACATTGCCTCTCCTCCCCTCCCTCACCTCTTCCTTTCCTCGCAGAAAGAGACAGATCATAGTCCGCCATCTTATAATGCCCTTCCTTCTCCTTGCTTAACCTTGCCTTTTCTATCCCCCCACTTAATGGCAAAAGGAACAGAAGAGGAAAGGCTCATGGGCTGGACACGAGAAAAGCGAGAGCGGGGTCAAGGAGGAGAACGAACATGGAAAAGAAAGGAAGGAGAGCTAGAGGGAAGATAGAGAGATAGAGAGGAGAAATGAAGGACAAAGACCGTGGAAGAAAGGCGTGAGCAATGCTCGGGACATAAGTGTAAGGGGTGAGGAAAAGGAACAGTGGATAACAAAAACAAGTGTCCTGCTTGACCCCTTTTTGTTCTCCAAGCGGCCCTCTTTTCACCATCGCTTCCTTCTTCCTCTCCTTCATTGTTTTTGTTTCCTTCACCCTGTTCCCCTATCTGTCGCTCTTTCACTGTCTTCCTTCTTCCTCTTCTCCCTAATTGTTGTCTCCTTCTCTTTGCTTCTCTATCTGTCTCCATCTCTCTCACTCCGGTGCCCCCCGGCGTTTTCTGTTCAATTGCTCATCCTTTCTGACTTTACGAGGCGGACCCTGTACAAACGATGGGTCCTGTTCTGGACATGGTCCCGCACTGCCTCTTTCCACACACTCCAAACCCCTCTGAGCCGCCCCAAGAGTTTCGGGCGGCCTTCAGAGAGCGTCTCCCAGGGGCCTCCAAGAGCCCCCATATTGCC